ATTTTCCTTGTCTGTTTCATGGTATGGATGTTACAGCAGTACTGCAAAAGCACTGACTACAGAAGAAGCCGTCAAGGTTAAGTACTGAAAGACTTATGCAGGCCAATACTTTAAATCCTGGTGAGTTTTATTTACTATGGGTTTACCACAGGAGACTTGTCACAGGTCCAAAAAGTGATGTTCAGACTTCTGAGACAGCAGACCAGCACCCGCATGTCTTATGGGAGACAGCTTAGGGCAGGCAACAAGGGTGTTGTGACTGGATTATTAAAATATTGTTGACACATCACCCTCAGATAAGACTGGATTTGCTGTATGCCAATGAAATTCTCATTCTCAGGGGCCAGATCTATGTAAAGTCTTCTTTGGTTGGTATCAGGAAAAGATCATATTTTGTGGTAATATGGTCACTTGCAGTCAATATTTTACTACAGTGCAAAGGAAGTTTTCAACTGGAAAGACTAAAGTGTTGTTTATTGTAACCTACTGCTCTTTTATTTATGGCAAGGGTGTCAAACTCTTCAGCAGAGAGATCTGAATTATGTGCTCGTAGCTCGGGTATCAGTTCAGGTTTTCTCACTTCCCCTGCTTCACACACTGCTTCCACCACACAAACAGCCAGGCACAACAGGATCTTTATCGAGTAACAGCTCTTTTAGAGGGAGGATGTGCCACAGCAGCACACCACAAGCATTTCATCTCCATCCCCTGTTCCCTCGTGGTCCACCCGGCAGCAAACAACTTCCTCCCACACTGCGCTGGCTTCTTTCTGCTGTAGGGAAGCAGAAAGCTGAAGCGTGCAGCAAAAGTGCAGACTTCCCAGAGACAGCCCTACCAACAGACTTTCTCCCTGGCCCTGACACAGGATTGGGGAGTCCTCTGGGAAGCGCAGAGAAGGTTGGCCCAAACTCACCAAGGGCAGCAACCTCTGGGGCATACAAGAAGAGAGGGCAACTACAGCAAGAGGGAAGAGTTTAGCAATATAACACAATTTTTTTCTGCATGCACATGGCCTTCAGCATCATTGTAAATAATACTCCTAATAAAGAGCCAATTAGCCTAACAATCTCATTACCATCCAGCATGCAGTCTAGGAAGCACTAGCCTACGGCATAACTGAGCAAAGGTGTGTTCTCAGCTCCCCATTTCCTGCTACATGTATAAGGAGGCATAAACAGATGTGCAAGAGATAAAAAGCATGGAGAGCTGAGAGAATAGCATGCAACCTTATAAAGCAGGTCTCGTGGCCTGCCATTTTGCATCAACCCCCACTAACAAAACCCAGACCAAGGTACTGCAATAATCCTGCACAAGCACTCTGAGCACTGAGTCCCAGTTGGTGCTGCTGCAGCCTTCCCGATACTGGGACATGTTAGCATGGACATTCACAGAGGATTACTTCATGGGCTGTAGTGACAATGCAGTAAGCCATTAAACAAAACATCTTTGTCTTACATCTGTCCAACTTTAGGCTTCCATTTTTCCTTCACAGAATTGAAAAAATACCACACAGGCTGATTTCAGATTAGCTCACGTGTAAATCATCCCCTTGGGCTTGGGCTGTTCATGCTGGGGTTCAGCCTGAGTGACTTTTTATAGCCGAGTTATAAACTTTTAAATGCCAGACTTAATCAAAGCTACTGAGATGGCCATTACAAGAGTGGTTTAAGTAGCATAACCCTGATATATGACAGCACAGAAGGAAGGAAGATGGCTCAACTGCAGCAGGCAGTCTATCTGGAAGGGAGCAGGGCTGGCGTCTAGAAATGGGCACGACTGAGACACAGATCTCTTGAGTTTTGCCCTTGTGCTACTGCTCAGTGACCTCAAGCAAGTTCCCTGAGCAGTCAGGTCTCAGACCAAAACTGAAAATGTGGCTCATCATGCCTGAGTTTCCCCAACACACTAACAAGAATGCAAATACATATCTGTCTGCCCTAGGCAAGTCACAAGTATTGCTGGTAAATTGGCCTAGGGTTTAGCATGGTGTTATGCAGACTAAAAATGTGCAAACCTGAAGGTTTCATTTATGGCTGACTTAGAGCAACCACCCACAAAAATCATACTGAATAATTATAACCACAGACACATCAGACACTGAAGAGTCTAAGAGACTTTGGGTTTAGGCTTAAGGGGGACTAATGCTGCTTTGCTCCTAATAGGAGTCTCTGTAAAACTTTGAGCCCCCTAATTTTGCTAGTTGTGAGCCACCCAGCAGGTTCCAGCTGTGAATCTGAGAGCCTCCCCTACTCTGCAATATCTTCGTGGTCTAAGCAGAACTGGACAGTCGTCAGTGTGAGAGCAGATGCTTGGACAGAGAAATCGATCTGAATGAAAACGGTACAGGAACGTTTCAGGGTCTTCTTTCTAAATTTATTCAAGTATTAAACAAACAGAAACTACATCATGCATCAGATACTTTTCTTTATTGTACAACAAAACTATGGACTTGTTTGTAATTGCAGCATTTCCAGCAACATCAGGCAGACTTGTCGATGTTATCCAGTTTTGCACAGTCACTAGAGTGTCACATCATGAATTATTAAATCAGTGCTTCGTGGTAATACATAATTTCTTATCAATTATTCATGCTAATGTGCGTGTAGTTTACTTAATTGTGTTATTGACGATCAAAAGTAATTTCCTGAAAATCCTCAAGGACAGAAAATTTAATCAGCGTAACTACTTTTCAGATGCAATGCTGTTAAGTATTCTTAATTTGCTCAACAATTCACTTATTTATGTACCTTTCTGGAGGAAATACGAGTTTAATCAAACAATTAGATTGAAGAGTTAGTGTACAGAAGGGCTGAAGTTCAACCGAATGCAAGGTAATTATGTTGAAATCAAGTTGGGCCTGCCTCTTTGGAGTGGGTGGTTTTTTTAAGTCTTTGTGGGGGAGACACAAAAAAATTATTATTGGGAAGATCACTAAGAAAACAGAGATTCTCTCTTCTCTCACTGCTCCCCACAACAAAGCACACAGCAATCTGTTTTATTTTGATGGGGAAAAAAAGGTCGTTACTGTTTAAAACTGAGCCATAACTTGCAGCCAGGGAAACTACCCTTTACCTCCACAGCTCAGCAGAGCCGGTCCTAAAGCTGGAACACAAGGGCGGATCACAGACCCCTGCATGTTTCCCCCACCTTGCAATTAGGACAGTTCAGGAGTGCCAAAAGAAACACGACGTGGCAAAAGTAAAGCAAAATTACTACATTTAATGAACGTGGGCTCTGTCAGACTTTTCTTTGTATTTGGGTGCAAGGATAGACCCAGCAATACCCTGTCTGATGGCTTGTGTCCGGAAGACACAAACCCCACCTTGGAGGAGTGCCTGGTACCCTTCACTCCTGGAACAATGAAGGTCCTGGCAAGCCACTCCCTGAAGACCAAGGTTTCCACACTTTGAATGGGTGCTGACACCAAGCTCTGCCTCATGAAAAGGAAGGTGTGCACCAGGGAGAACGGGAGGGTCCTGCAAGCCCCAGAAAAGTCTCAGGTTCTGTGAAATTCATGGGCTGAGATCCCTTAGATGGGGGAGAACAAATTTTGCTGCCAACCTTACCCAGGACTGCCTTTTCAAGCACATCCCCAAGCTCAGATCCTGTACGAAGCCAAACATAATCATGTAAAAGCATGTGCTCAGTGCATTTCAGGAGGTCCTCAGCACAACATGCGGGATCAGAGCTGACACGAATCCTTCCACTAGCCTCCACGCTATGTGCTCAGGTCTCAGAGCAGTGGTTTCACCCTGTTCTCCAGAGGCATCCGTGGACAAGCTTAAGAAGTCTGCAAAAGGCCCCTGAGAAAAGACGGTCCATGTCCGTAAGGTTAAATCTGCGTGTGAATTTCCCATGTCAAAAACGTGAGGCACCCCACAGATTAAAATGTCTGGTCTAGAGCATCTGCTATTAGTCTGCTTTGCTTTGGGGAATTTTGGGTCAGAGATAAGCCTATATTTCCTGAGGTATCAATTTCTCCTTTCCACTGTGCCCACTCTGTAATAATGAAGACATTTTCATATCTAGTTTCATTACAACAAGCCCTCAGTGAATGGAATAGTCAGATTTTGGATGGCATAAAGGAATATCCTTCCAAGCTTTATTTCCACTTTATTAAAAACAAAACATGCAAGGAAATATTTGCAGTGTTGCAATGCAGGATTATTTTGTTTTCCAGTCTTTCTTTCCAAAAGCTAAAATACTCCCAACTTTGTGCAGATTTAGATACAATTGCACTCTCCATTAAGTACCAGCATTACCATTTGAAAATACAAATGCTGCTCTGGAGTCAAGTGTCTTATGTCTAATCCAGGGAAGGGCAAGAGTAACAGACTAATGTTCATATAGCGACTAGTGCAAGGATTTTTTTCACAGGTAAACTGACCTCAGCATTTTCCCAGTAACCTACTCCATGGAAAGTTTCACTTTGGGGGGAAGAGAAGAGAGAAGGAAAAAAAATGGAGAAGAATTTCATTCAATTTTCTGCTTCTCTTACACCTGCCTTACCTGGGATAGATTTGGTTGAAGTCAAATGCCATCAGAAGACAGCAGGCCAAATTGGTATACGTCTGCTTATTCCTTCACCTCTGCTGTGTGCAGTGGGGTAAATGATGCATGAATGCCTCTCCTGTCCCAGATCTTGCATCTGGAAGTGCTGCCCTGCTGCCAGTCTTCCATCTCACGTGGGATGGGAAGCTGAGATGTGCGGGAGCAAGCCAGGATCCTGGGCATTTCGGTGTCCCTGGGATGTGGACGGGGGTGCTAAAAACAGTTTCACAAACGTTTCCAAACACAGATAGTGCTGATAAATCAGGGGGATGAATCTACATCGGTGCAAGAAAAGCAAGGGTGTGTGAAAGGTGGCCAGAGAGGACACTCAGATTTGCCAGTGGCCCCTTGATGTCCTGCTGGGGCATGGCCATGCTGCAGTTCACCCTGCGGCAGAGCCCTGGTGGCAAGTTCTTGCCCTGCACTGAGAAGTCAGAACTGGTCCGGTCTCATACGCTCTTCTCCCCTTCCATGTGCTCCTTGGTTGGAGAGAGCTGCTTATCCTGGCTGCCATCAGGGCCAGGTTTGGTAGGAGGAGTGGGGCTGCTACTGGTGGTGGGCAGGAGGTTGGCAGACTGGAGAACAGCCTCTGAGTGCTCCCTGGCCTTCATGCGCAGCGCGGCCACGCTGGCAGTGCGGTTGCTTTGGCAGCCGTAGGTGGGCAGGAAGGAGAGGCCCATGGGGTCTGGAACGCAGCACGAGCACAGTGGGCTCCCTGGGGAGAAAGGAGACAAGGCGCCATCACTGGTGAGGAAGGTCATGAGGACTGTCTGACTGTTCCCTCTGGAGAGGACAGAGATAGTGTTGGAGTCTTAAATAGCAACAACCCCCTCCTCTATTGGCCTCTACTGAGTACATAAATGTTCTGTGGATCAGGGCTGGAAAAGCCAGATCTTGTTCTGCTGAGGCCCACAGTGAAGGATCTCACACTGTGAGTCATCCAGGGTGACAAGAGTGTGTGAGGGCAGGCAGAGTCAGAAGCAAGCGGTCAAGTTCAGATCACACACGAGATCTGCCCTCTAGGGGAAGGGGAGCTCATCCCCTGCCCTCACACCAAGCTGCTGCTCTGTGGCTACCATCTGCCCCCTGCTGGAGGTGTCCTCCGCCCTCCAGCTGTGCAGTGAAGCCTGATCAGTTTGGGCAGCTGCATTTGGTGGGTGAGTGTGGAGGTCCCATCACTTATCTGCACCTGAAAGATTACTGCAGGAAGAAAGGTGGTTACTATGCGGGAACTAACCACTTTCTCTTATCTCACTGTAAGATGAGACAGACTTTTCCTTGGCCAGGCCCCTGCTAGCTACTGACATTATGTCTACCTGCAAGAGTCTGTTCCACCTTCACCCACCCAATGTCTGTGCTGCTTAAGGACACCTTGAAGAGAACAGCCTCCAAAAGTGAGGCAAAGCCACTTAAAGCCATGCCTGCTAATACAGTTTAAGTGTCCCATTAGGAGAGATGGGCCAGATCATCTCTACCTTGTCATCTGAGACACATGGGTCTTTCCAAACAGGCAATACAACACTGGAAAAGGTGGTGAAATAGATATTCCTCTCCCTTTAAGCCAAAGGCTCCTCTGCAAACCACTGATAGAGACAGTCCTCACTTTACCAGCTGCCTTCCTGAGCTGGACCACTGCAGGCTCTTCCTCTGGCCTATCTTTGATAATGCTGGGGCTTGGGCCAGTTCCCAAACAAGCACACCTGGAAGTGTAGGCTGGCAACCGGGCAGGACATGCAATTCATCCAGTCCATCCAAAAAGCCCCCCTGGTACCTAGATTAGATGCATCTATTGAATGAAGGGGAACGTGTCAGAGGAGTAGGGAAGGGAGGCAAGGTGGAATAGCTGAGCTACTCTCCGGTGAGAAATGTGGGGTGACAAAATTTTACAAGGCACCTCAGAGACCACAGGTGCTCGACATCCTCTCCTATACCCCTGGCAAATGCCTTTGCTAACTCCCAGCAAGAAACAACCCGGCCGCGCACATCCTAACACAATGCAATGTCTTCCTCTGATCTTTCCAAGCCAAGGACTTCCATTAATTTCTGCAGTTAATATTTGAGTTAAATGGCTCATGACTAAGTGATGGAACTAATAACCTGCGGGGAGCAAGTAGTCTTTCCTTTACACTTTTACTCTTGCTGGCAACGGGTCAGCACACATCTGCTAGGGATGAAGGCAGACAGTTGTTTTGATTTTAGGATGTTGGCAAGAGTTCTCCACAGCAATTGTCAGAGATTATAATCTTGCAGGTAACATTCAGGAAAAAGTACTCTTTGAGTTTAAAAAAAAACCAACAAACAAGTTACTAATGTAAGTGGAATGTCTTCTTTCTTCTTGCAGTACTCCTCTGATAGAGCATATGATCAGCAGACCAATATTTCCATGAGTTCAGGCTTTCAAATGAGTTGCACAAGCGAGTTTCAGCACTTGACTAAAATTCTCCATTTTTTTTCTCTTAGCACTAGAACTCTCTATTTTGAATTTTGTGGCTCCTTTAAGCAGGCCAGAAGAGCGTTTATAAAAAAAACACTCAGTGACACAGTTTACAGTTTTCGTCACCACAAACAAAGCTCGTGAAGTCATTTTTTGCTCTGTTAAATTGTGGCCACTTCAGGGATGCTAGACAGCCACTAACAAGAAGGAGGAGAGGAATTTTGGCACTTCAGAATCCCTACAGTTTGCAGCAAGTCCTAAGCTGCAGAAGCAGAGAACCCTGTTTTTTCACTACTGTTAAGCCTCAGTATCTTAGGGTTCAGCTCCAAAATGGGGGAGCATGGAGGCCTGCCTATGCATCAGCTGTCTTTGCTCTGCTGCTTTCTAACACAAACTGAACGAGGCTTTTGAACACAGTTGTGCAGCTCCCTGGCTGAGGGCAGGGCTGGCCCGACAGCAGTACCGAACCCAGGACTGAGCACAGGACCAAACCCAGGACTGAGCACAGGCATCATTTGCTCAGTGGGAGGTGGGGAGAAGTGGAAGAGAGTCTTCCCCTTTTCAAAAGAGCAGGAATCACCTTCATCCCCTATGAATAATTTCATTCCTTTGTTAGAGAGGGATAAAATATTTATCAGTCTTCAGTACTGATCTAAACTCTTTGCTTAATAATTAGACCTGATATTACCCAGTGGCTCTGCAACCGGAGGGTGCAGTTACCTGTGGTGGGAACTAGGATATCTCTAGCAGCAATTCACCCATAAACTACTCCTTCATCTTCGCTGAGGTTAAAACACTTGCAAACAACGACTCACACTCAAATAAATATAGAGTAATACATGTAATTTGCTCCAGGCTCCAGCTAAAATACAGGAGAGTAGGATTTAGCTCTTTCCTTTTTTATATATGTTGAAAGGAAGGTTGGATCTACCTTACAATTACTTGTGTTTGTGGGCAGTAAGTCCAGTGAAATTTGTCAGACCTTGCTGGCACAAAAGCCAAGACAAATGATGGGAGACTCAGGAGCCTGATGTCTCCACCTGCCCATCAGTCAGCCCAGGATGGACGGGGATGTGACTTTCACTAAGAAAGAGGCATCCACATATAGCAGACATCAACCTTTTTTTTTTTTTTACATCTTATTGCAGTGGGAAAGGAAGGAATTGTTTCTACTTATTTTTGATTCTCAGAGATGTTTAGGCACTGAGCTCCCATCAAAAGCAATGAGGGTTAAGCAGTTAGTCCCAGATCTTGATCCAGCTTCTACGAACATCTATGACAGTCTGATAATACTTTAATGGGATTTGGATAAGTTGCTACAATACAGACAGAGTATCTTTTTCTTTCCTTCAGGAACTTACTGCCTCCTGTACACAAAATTAAAATACACAATTAGATTTCCATTAACTTACAGCAAATTCTGCTGAATTGATCTGAACCTCCTTGTATTCCTATATGAGATCATACTGTAAATGCTCAGCCCGAACATAAATACTTAATGTAATAAATACAGTCTGAAATATTTGATCCACTTTGCAGTTTAATTGATCTACTACAGAGACTGACAAGAAAAATTAAATTAGTTCTGTCTTGTCTCTGCCAATGCCACAATTCAATTGTAACGATATTTGATCTACAATTTTGGTTGCAGATCCTTTTTTGCTCAGTTCCAAGGTTCAGTTTCAGCAGGGAAAAGTGTGGTAGGAGTGGGACCCGTATTGATACACAAGTGTTTAAAATACATATTTTGTATTTCAACTCAACAGTTTAAAGAATTTTATAGATAGCCTTTCCAAAAGGCAAAACCCCAGTTTCTTTCATCTTTCAATGTTTGTGCATATCAACATTTAATGTGGACAGCTGAAGAGCAATCTGATATAGAGGAAAGCAAGGAAAGATTCCTATTTAAGTTGTCACCTGTCAATGTATGCTGTTCAGTTTTTAGAGAAAATATTTGGCTTGATTTAAGCATTGTTTTCTTCTGATAGTTGCTTGAACTCTAAATCCTCATAAAGTCTGAAATCACTTTTGCAAGGGCTGGAAGATCAGCAACAACCTCAAGTTCATGATGTTGTTTACCAGTGAGAGATAATTCAAAGGGAGCTCCCTCTTACTCTCCATACATGACACTCACACTCTATTAAAGGCTGAGGCATAAGCCAGAAAAACAAAAGTAATTTCTTGAGTTCTGAATCAGGAGGTTCAGAAGAACAGAAAAAAGTCATGAACTTAAAGAACTTGAAACAGAGAGACACCAGATGCTCCCAGTATAATTTATGGTTGCCTCAAGGCTGCTAAAGTTGTGCTAGATGGCTCCTCCTTCTAGTGTCTTAGCTGGTTAAGTGTGGAAGACCCTGTGCTTCCCAGAGGCTGCAAAACCACTTCAGAGCTGACAGAAGAGTCCGAATATTATAATTGCACATCTTCTTGGCTTGTGAACCCTATATGACCAAAGCAAACACCAAAGAGCTGATGACCTGGTTCATTTTCTCTAACAAGAGACACTGGAACTAGAGGATTTCATTCTTCTTTATTTATACCATTAGTACTGTTCAAAAAAAAAAAAATTAGAAACCTGCCTGTTTGGACAAAAAGCTGGCAGTGTGACCCACAAGAGCTGGGAGAACAGAACCAGTCCTTTGAATACTATCAGCTCAGCCATCATTTACAACTCTTCCCTTCCACAATAAAAACATGATTTGACCCTAAATCCTGCTGACGCTCCAAGAGGGGTCAACAGGAACCCCTGCCCAGCTAAGGTCCACTAACATAATCAAGATTTGTCCTGGAGGAGCAAACCAGCAGCCATGTCCTTTCCATGGCTCTTAGGGCTCCTAGTATCTGCATACTCCTTAGTATTTGTGATAAAGATGAAAAAACACTACCTGCAAGATAGGGGACCTGCTAAAGACAGGGACCTGTGATACAGGAATCAAAGTAATTCACTCAAGGTCTGTGCATCTGCAGTAAACTAAAGAATTTTTTTTAATTCTCTAAAGTCACAGTGGCAGCTAAAGTAGGGAAAATGCCAAACAGAGTCTGCTTGACAGATTTACTATATTACATAGAAAAAGAAAATCGATAATCGAGAATGACAGAGAAAATAAAGGACCCAAGAGATTTGATTCCCATTAGCCAGTCTTTTGGTGAGGAGTGGTGCTTCAGTTCCATAAACACCAGTTCAAGGGTAAGTTAGGTCCTTGAACGCTTCTCTCTCAGCCTTGGCAGTGGGAATTGCCCAATAGAATTGGGCAAATTCTCTTCATCTTTCACTAATAGAA